AAAGAGAGCCCAGAACATTGGCAGAGGGATGTAGAGGAACAGCACCTTCAGCACCATCTTCACCTGAGCAATCAGGAGTTTCTGGAGCCAAACATGGACAAGGGTGGAGAACACAGAATTGATGGAATGCCAGCAATGCCAGAGAGAGGGGATATATGCAGAGAATGTGGGACCTATGGATACTTCAAAACCCACAATCAAGACTAACTAAGAAAAATCTGGTAGCGCAATGTTTCAACATTCGTAACCGCCAACTACTATCACAACTAAAGATCAATGAAATATTTCAACAATATTACGGCAAGGGGGAGCCAGGATGACAGGTCAATGGGGGGATGTCATCATCACCCCGACAATCCAAGATTGGATGCCAGATACTCAATGTAAGAGCAGCTGACCTGAGAAGGAAGATCTTGAGCAACTGGAAACCGGGAGCCTCAGATGAATTCCGAAGCTGAGTTGCCAAGTACCTTCAGATGATCTGCTAGAAGATGTAAATGCTGCCCTGAATGCCATTCCTAGAAAGACCATCACTACAGACCAAATACAGATAACATGTCTCTGCATAACATGGAAGCTCCTGTCAGGCATCATTGTGGCATATCATAGCGTCACAACTAGGCATATGGTCCAATACCTGAGCGAAAGGAAGCCAAGCACCAGCTACTAGTCGACAGAGCAATCGCAATCGCCCGAGACTGCAAGAGCAGGAAGACCAACCTGTGCATTGCCTGGATTGACTACGACTCAATGCCACACACACACGGATACTGGAATGTCTGGGACTATACAAGATCAACAGGACACTAACGGCCCTCATAAAGAACTCCATGGGAATGTGGAAGACGACCCTGGAGGCCAACTCAAAGCCGATTGCCCAAGTCACCATCAAATGCGGCATATACCAAGGGGATGTACTGTCACCACTGCTGCTCTGCATTGGCCTGAATCCCCTCAGTCAGATCATCAAGAAGACTGGCCATGGATACCGATTGCTAGACAAGTGTGGCTGGATGGTATCAAAGGGAGGCAAGATGATCAGAATTGTAGGAGTTGACCTACCAGAGGGCAACATAGGAGATATCCAGGACAGCTACAAGTACCTTGGGATCCCGCAGGCTAATGAAATAATGAGGAGACCACAAGGATTGCTCTGTTGATCAGTAGCTGGTGCTTGGCTCCTCTGGTGTAACTGCCAATTTTTTCTGTACCTCACTCATGTATTGGACCATATGCCTAGTTATATTAGCTGCTATGATGCCTGACAGGAGCTTCTATGTTGTGCAGTGACAGGTTATCAGTCATCTGTAGTTGAATGGGAGATATATAGAGATAGAGATAGAGATAGAGATAGATAGATGGATGTATAATGCTCTTACATTGTATTTCTCCTCAGCCCAGTCCATCCAGTGGGCTCTCTTCGGGTACTCAGGAGCACGATGCCTAAAGCGGCTCTTGATAGCAAACTACAGATGGTAGAGAGGACAGGTTGATGAGAATTTTTCAGTGACTGAAAAACAATTTGCTACTTAAACTATACTCAAAGTTCCTCGGTTCTATTTAAAACCATTGTACTCCATTTTCAAAACAAAAACCCCTTTTGGAATAACAAAATGTTCACCTTTGAGGACCCACTTACCCCGATGCATTTGCAGACTTTGACCAAGATGTTGCCCTGAGGGGCGTTCTTAGTGTACATCCCACTTCCAACAATGAACACAACTGCAGACACACACCAAATATA